GTTCAAATGATAAAGAAGAAACACAAAGGAAGGCGGTTTTGGTGGCAACTGGTAAATTTTGTATAATTGAATATTTTACAGCATGCACATCAATTTAACAGTTTTGTGATTGAAGTAGAATTGTTTCATTTAAAATTTTGCAAACAGTCATGTGCCATCAATTCAAAACTTTATCATCCTTCCCACAGGCAACCCTCAGGCAACCCCCTAGGCATTTGCACTTGGGTTGCCCAGGGGGGAAGGGGGAGATGTGGAAGCTTTTAAATTATTGGCAGATAATAAATAAAATTGTTTGCTTGCTATGATATCAGCTGATCCAATAAATATTTCTCTTCCCTTTCTGTAGGCAATCTTCCACACAGTGGCTCAGAAGTTGGGAAAAGAGAAGGAAGGGAACAAAGTGAGTCTGCACCAGGTGGGTCAATGAACATGTAACATTGCAGGTTATGCCCAAATTTTGCTCTTTTCTGAAAAATAAGCCTGCATGATATTGTTTGAACTGTACGACAGATCTCTGACAGTTAGAGAGTAGAGTTGTAAAATAGTGCTGTAACTCTAACATTCAATGCTTAAATGTTGTTGAAGGTTTGTCTTGAAGTCTGCAGATATTGGCTGATTAACAATTGATATGTTTACTATAATTTTGAGCAGAAACTTGAGTTAATAAATGTTTCATTTTCCTCAAATTAAATAAACAGCTAAGCAGAATGTATTAAAAACTGAAGAGACAAAGAAGAACTTGTTAAGTGGATTTTTGCAATCAATTGCCTGCAAATTCAGAAGGACAGACAAAATCAAAATGCAAGAAATGCTGGAAGAAAGTGAAAGGGGTCAGTAATATTATTTTTATTAGTAACTGAAACATTTAGTGGTACAGTACAGTACAGTACAGTAGTTTTAATATTAACTCTCCTCCTAGGAGGGTATTCTGTGATTACTTATGACACTTTCCTGAGGAGCTTTGGCTGAACTGCAGATAGAAATTATTTTTTCTCCTTACTGTCTGTAGGTAAAGCTCTACACAGCTCCCTAAACTGTGAAGAAACAGAGGGGAATAAAAAAGGAGAGTCTGTACCAGGTCTGTAAAGTTTGCATTGCATGTTACATTTAGGAATATTGTAATTAGACTGTAACTGTCAGGAGAATTATGAGGAATAAATCAGTAAATCAGGTATGCCACAGAAAAGTTCTTAAAAAAATTAAAAGAAATCTGGGAAATCAACTTTTCATTGCTGCAATGATAGGA